TAGGGAAAACCTTGCTAGATCCTTAGTTTGTGAAGACCATAAATGAATTCTGTGGGTAGCCGTTGCATCTGGCTAATAAGAGGCTAATGTGGCTAGCGCTGCCAGCCGTTGTCATGTAACGAAGACATCAGATTTCTTCTTGCAGGCACAGATTCGGTACGCAATAATCCATAAGCTTCCAGGGTGACTTTAAGCAAGTCAGTTAATCTGCCGCCTCCTCCTTTCTCTTTCTCTAACCTGGCAGTGCAGCTACTTCCATGCCGTGTCCTCTGATGGCAATGGCAGTACTGCTCCTTGGGACAAAAGTGGTGTGCTGGTGGCTGTTGTGCACTCTAACGGATATTGGTCTTTATGGTTTCTTCTCCTGTATTGTAAATATCAATAAACCCAGCGTGTACTGCATCTATCTGGTCTCTTCTCGCTCTGATCTCCCCTCTGATAAAGGAAAGGGCCCCTTCCTCCTCCCCCCCCCAATATAACTCTTTTATGAGAAAATTGTATGAATTTTTATTTTGAAACAGTCCCTTATTTTTAGAAGTTCTACCTTGAGTGGCAGCAAGACTTGGAACTGTATTCATAAAGTGAGGCCAAGAGCTGCTGGCAAAATGCTTTTACCATTGCTTTTGCTCCAGTGGACCGTAAATCGTGGCTTGAACAGATGGGAAATATAGGATATACAGGTCAAAAAAGAAGAAACAGCCATGCAAAACAACCAAAAGTCAAAAATTACTCATCACTACCGAATATTTCTTGTTTCAAAACAATTATGTTTAGAGTAAACTCTCTCCTCTTTCTCATAGGAAATTGTCTCCAAGGGGAACCTTCTAGAAACTGCTAAATACTAAAATATATAGGGAAAGGTAGCTTTGGTTTGGTGTTTTTTTTCTCATAGTGCTGTTCTGCACAGTGGAAGATTTAGAGTAGTGAACGTGAAACTGATGGACTGCTTTTAATTTTGTGAAAGAGTTGGACCATAAGGGCCAAGGTCTAGGGTTTTGGTTTTTTTTTTTAATGAACTAGAGAAATTAAAAATATTTGTCTTGGCTCTGTATGGGTGTGAGAGTTAGAAGAAAGGAAGGAAGGAGATAAAATGTAAATGATGGATAAATATGGAATACTGCTGTAAGCACCAGGTTGTAAGCTTGGACTGGAGCACTGAGCCTTAAGAAAAGGGGTGATTTCTCAGCTTAATTCACACACTTGCTTCCTTTTTGGTCTTGGCCAAGTCACTTTACGTCTCTGAAGCCATTTTATCACTGCTAATATCAACAGCTATTTGAAGATGACATGCTGTATACAAGCAACGAGCAATTATATCTTCCCAGTGAAGCAGTATTAAATGCCTTTATAA